GCCATAGATAATGTTTCGATGGGCCCCTTTCTGCATCAAACATCATCCTGAAGAAGTACATATTCAGTAATTCATTGCGTTACCATAGGCCAATGATATTGCGTACCGTAGCAGGTGAGCTTGATCATCTTCTGTGTCCGTACACGTTGTTGATTCCATAAGCGAACACATATGCGACAAATCCTGCTGACGGCGATTATGATGACGCTCCAGCGTGTGATGCTACAGACCTCTATGATTCCTTGTCTCCGGGCGTATCCCACAACCTGAGCCATGATAAATGACACCTAAGGAGACGGAAGGATTGGATTACCTTTGGCAACAGTTCGTCTACTTCTGCGCGGATCCCACACCAAAAGAACCACAGGATCTATTAGTGAGTGGGCTATCCTGAGCGTCGAAAAGTAACAAGTGGGTGCTGTCCTCGCCTTTCCTGTCATGTCTTCGTCCAGTGCTCGTTGTTCGTCGTCGTTCCGCGTTACATTGAGTTTCGCTTGGAGTGCCTTTATGTCCTGAATTATGGAGAGAAAGTTGCGTTGCCTACGTATATGGCATTCAGGACATGGGCTACTGAAGATCAGCAGATACGTATAGCACTGACCATGCGTACTTCGGGAGACTCCGTGGATATGGTTCTGTGCTACCAGAATACAGTGAATTACAGAGCAAGGAAATGATCTGAGACCAAGGAAGTACTTACAACCCTGGGCGGAGGTTACTCGCTATGTATTTAAGTAGCTTTTTGTGTTAGAATTAGCACCTATTCATCTTTGCTGATAGCAACGCTTACATCCCTGCCCAGAGTCTTCAATATGGACTTGACCTCGCCCTCCACTATTTGTCTTTCATCAGCAGACCGATCCGGAGCATGACAGCTTGAATAAAGGGTTTGGCACCGTCTGCGCAACAGAGGTAACACAGATTCAAGGCGTGGGTCCGACTCTTGCTGGCGGCCGTTAAATAGGTTAGTATCTCATCACTGAATTGAAGCACAACACATTAGGTAAGCGTACTCGTAAACCATTCTCTAGAGCTGCAATATCAATTTGCAGAAGAACATAGTATGGCAGACCAAACCTTCCATAGCACCTACGGACGGTACATCACTGACTGAACCGCTTTCCGTCATCGGGGGGAGCCTCGTGAAGAATGCTATGTCGCCAATCTACATTCAATAAAAACAAGTGGACAAGACGAGATATTGGGAAGGCGACTACACACATAATTCTCCAGGTGCTTGAGGCCGAACAAGTCTGAAAAGAACTCGATCGCTATGTTTTGCTTCTGTCTCTTCTGACGCCATTATAAGGGAATATTCGTGCTCCTGTCATAGTTATTTGACTCACTGCCGAATCGTGAGGTGGTTGAGTTCCCGGGCGTCTTTGCTGCGGATAGTGTGATCAGTAGTGTAGACGAACCCTAAGGGTGGTAAAGCAACGTACCATATCCATGAGTATGTAAAAGTTCCTCCTAGCTCCCAAAACAAAGCATCAGTAAAGCAATACCACACGGAGCGCCTCCATAGGCTAACCGAATGGATTTGAATCGTTTCTTTGTTTGTTTACAAAGCGGATCTATACTCCAAACGTGCGGGTATGAGATGGTGCAAAGCGGAGTCAAGACGCCCGTCCCTGTGGAGTAATTGCCACTGTTTGGTGCCGAGTCTAATAAAGTCTGAAGGTGAGCAGTGTATGATCATTTGCAGACAACTCACAATCGCCCGAGTTCCATAGTTTGCCATCCTTATCAACCGCATAGAAATCTAAGCATTGTATGACGGTCGTCACCAGGTGTCTCCCCGCAAGACGGGCAGACAAGGCTTTCAGTAACAACGAGATGTGTTCGTTGTCAGGAAGCGAGATCGCCGCTGGTTGATGCAGAGCCAGGTATGTTGTTCTTTTAGTTTTATGCTCCACAGCGAGAATATCCTGAGTTTTTACCCAACCCAATCGCCATCCGAGTTTTGAACCAGATACGCTGTAGGTCACGCGGCGATGAGAGTCATCGAAATCAATGCCAGTGGCCGGCATATCCTCAAATATATTTCCAGTGCATACAAGATTGCCACGGGAGTAATAACCGTAATCACCCAACTGTCTATGTGAGATGCAAGATAGATGTAAAGGTATGATGCGTGACTCACCGCAAACCGTTGACCAAAACACTTGCTAAGTTTGGTCTGCAGCCCATCCAGGTTCAGCAAGTATGAACCAGAAACCGTGGCCATAAGCTTCGGCATGGCGAGGCCAGTCTGATCATTTTGAGGTAACGGAAACAGTTAGCTCTGCATTCACATGGGAGAAATAGTACTAACAGATGCAACTGCCCACCCGTGTGACACATCACAACAACCAGGACATTGCACGACGTCGACTATAACCTCGAAGTCGCCGGCCGGCTGCCTACCCCAGACAACCCTTGCAGCCCAGATTGATCGAGGAAGATGGGCACGCTTAATGAAGAGTTTGTTGCGGTATACATCATGTTTGGGCATAATCTGAGCATGTTTGACACGTGCCTTCGACATTTCATCGTATACTTCCCGGCCAAATTTCCAGCAGTTTCCTTCCTTTCGGATGAGGAAATCTCCGTCATCGACAACATGCACCCATTCTCGGCCAAGGGAATATCCGAGGCCAATTGCGAAGCGACGTCTGGCATTGTGATTGGCGTAGACTATCACAATGAGATCATCGGCGACGACAAGAGATAAGGGTGTGACGGTATTGCCGGTGAATTCGCTCGGGTAGGTGTCACAGCGGGTGAACCCATGGTATGAGACCAACTCGTCGTCGAGTACAATCTCGCGCCGCGTCTCGTTGGAGTCCTGATGATGAATGAGGTGGAGCGTCTTGAAATCCGGATATGTTGCAGGTAACGGAGAGTCGATCATTGAAGTCCTGGAAAAGCTGCCCCCAGAGGATACCAAAGCAATCGTGACCAGATCCCCATTATGAGTGCATGCCAATATGGCCCTCAGCGTCTGAGACGGGGAGTCATAAGAGGGAACGACGGGCAGGAACACTTGGATACCCGCATTGCTGACAGTCAACGTGTGAAATTGATGCGAGTCCAATGCACCACGCAATGCCGCGAGCTGGTGCTGGCGTCGCGCCCGACTGTCGATGTCATCGAGGCCCTCCCCTTCGATGTACTTCCTTCTCAGAATGTTGACAAATTCGACAGGTTCTAGCCTCCTGATTCTGCCACAACCCCGAAAGTCGCTTGGATCCTCGGCCAGGACGCTGCCCGTTCGCGGCATCCGTGGCTTCCATGCGAATATACTGTGGTCGCTGGATACGCGGATGATTTCCAGTTGTAACCTCTGAAACGCTTTTTTGCCCTCGCCATATAACATCGGCATGTTCACTCCCAACAAGCCCATCAACGAGTACGCCCGATCTTCTACACGTGTAGTCTTCCGGTTGGCGGCCCACGACATGATTTGTGCGACACTGAGACGCTTCGCAGCCAGGCCAATCGTCAAGACATCGCACGGAATTCCCGTAATTTTCTCCAACTCCCATGCAGCGCGCTGCTTGTCGCCGATACGCGCCCAGTCCTTGTTGAAAAATTCGACTTGCTTCGGCGCAATGAGTTCTTGCAGTGTCCAGCCTCGCACAAACCACTCCGGCCAACCGTTGGACTTGTCAAACTTGTTGTTATCTCGGTTTGTAGGGAAGGTCGACCCGTCGACGTCATTGAAGTACGCATAGCACACCTGTGCATTTTGATACCACCGGTACATCGAGTTAATGGCTTCCGAGAGCTCCGAACTGCTCCGCTTGTCGATACAACAGGTATCGATCCACAACCACTTGTAGCCATCCTTCTCGGCTCGCTCGCAGCTCTTGACAATCTTTTGATAGCCGTGGCGCCGCTTGACCTCTTTTCGCTCTTTTTCCTCCATCTTGCTGAACCCAATCATCTCCTCGTAACTGACCTCCGCTCCCCAGCGATGTGACAGTATGGCATAACTTGTGGTCTTGTCATCAAGTTCTGCCATGACTTGAGATTCGTGGTGGATGCCTTTGTCTCTGTTGAGCACAACTTCGATGTCAAGTAATTTCATCTTCCCAATAAGTCAATGCCGAGTTCAGCCCATCAGCATGTTACCATACATACTCTCTGGGTGTCCTAGCCTACAGGGTATCCTTTCACGTGGTGAGTTTCGAATGTCGGATGAAGGGAAAAGGGAAGACTGATGTTCCTTGCTCGTCAAGGTCTCACCCTGAGGGAGATGGTTGTTGAACGTAAGCACCACTGCAATGCGAGGCTATTCAGCAGCTATGCGAAACTGCAGACATTTCAGGGCTGGCAAACGCTTGACAGCGATAATCAAAATGGCGCGTATACGCATCATAATGGTAAGGCAACAAAACGTTCCGGGACCTCCCCTTCACACATTTGCTCCGTAGTCACAGTTATACTGGCCTTTCCATAGACCTAACCATGTGCCAGCAAGGACAGAACTACGCAGACCTCGTTATCGGCGCAAGAAAGGCTATTTCCATCGTCTCCGTAATCAGGCACGTGTCATATAGAATATTGGCATACGCCTGCCATCATGCGATACTGGACGGAGTCCCGAGCAGATCCTCTGGTCGACGTGCACAGTTGTACATTAAGTAGGGGGAGCAACGGTCCAACTGCATGTGGCAATCTCATCTCGGCACACTTTGTAGGTGTCCCACCGACATCCTTACTAAGTAGGTTGTCACTACATGGCAAATCCGAACTTGAGTAGTCTATCATTGTGATGGGGTGGGCAGCATGACTGCGACGCTGCTGGAAGCACTTGGAAAAGCGCAGGAGTGACTAGAAGGGGTCAAGACTCCAGAGCGAAAAAGAATGGACTGATCTTATGAAACAAGTGAATGCCTGAAAGAATGATCGGAAGACTCAGCATTGGCTAGTATTCCGAAATGACATGCTTGTATACTGATTGCATGACTACATGTCCAATCCTCTGCTCTCCGCTCAGAAGTGACGAAAAAGTGTGTTGAGGGTGGGAATCAAACCCACGACCTTCCGGACCACGACAACTTGTGCCATGTGGTGCCTTACCACTCAGCCACCTCACCACGCGATGACCTAGGGGAGATGGCAATAACTCCTTTCGTCCTCCAGTAGGGAGGTCCCTCTTGTTTTGCTCTTAGGGTTCACTGTGAGGCTGAGAGTGCCACATAACATGATGCAGACGATGCGAGACTCAGATCCGGCGATTATCGCCCTCCTCTCCGTATAATTTCCTTGCTTGGCAAGGTTTCTCTAGCACCATAAATGCCGTGGGAACTGTCGGACAGCTGAAAAACCTTCCTGTTTTGGCATTATGTGGGAACACAAGCTTCAGCTAATGGCGCACATCTCACCAAGTTAGTGCACGCAAACAGAAGAAACAGATATAAGTGGAAGTGCGCTCTGCCAGGCGATCAGATAGGCACAAAACGAGATTATATGTTCGCTCGATGTACGTTATGGCCACGGTGAAGTACATACATATGCTACTCCGGTGCATCGTTGTAGATGGATCACAAGAGTTCATAAACACTTTATGACGAGCAGGCCTCCACCACAAACAGAAAAAGCGCGCAGTGCAATGTCAGCAATGCATGGAAAAGTGAATGTACTAGAGTTTAACGTGTCAGTGTACTTTTGACCGTACACATGTTTCATGCCAAGCAAGGATGGCGCCGCCCCCCCCAGCGGCACTTCCCGAGTAGGAGACGGGCAGAATAGCCCACACATATATATCACACCGTTCCCCAACGTGTCCAAGCCCTCGGCTACTCTTGCTGCACGACCAGTATGAAGCTGTCGCACGTATTTCTCACTCCAAAGAATATATAGAGATGCTGGGGGAAAAGGCGATCAAGCCAGGGGCAACTAGAGATTTGTGTTCGAGCCATCCCGAGGACTAGAAGCAATTTTCTGGCACATCGTGCTCAGCGCAGGGTTTGTTCCGTCCATCTAACGGACATGAGGAAAGCACTCGAAGACCCCAATAACTGGAGGCCGCTCGCCAGGAGTCCTGATGAGTGACTACAAGCCAATGCGGGATACTCAGCGGAACCACTATCGCACACGACCACCTCTATGACCATTATGAACTTATGCTTATATACATACGTTATCGCAATGATTGAGTGTATGTGTGCAGACTATATCCTGTAGCTTAGAGTCAGAGCGTCCATATGTAAGGTCAGTGGGAGCAGTACACTTGTGGTTAAAAGCCTACGATTTGACCTTCTCCATCAAGATTTGCTTCCACGCTGCACGTTTCTCTGCGATCTCAGCCTTGATCCCTTCAATTTCCATTCTCGTGATCATCCTCCGTCTAGCAATGGCCTGCAATATCTTGTCCCTCCGCAGATGTCCCGTGAAACGCCAACTTTTGCTACCCGACTGCGTCGTACGCACAAGCTCGTATCTGCGCCAACGAGCGAGACCTTTGAGAGTAAACTTCTCCAACCATGCCTCACGTTCTTTCCTCGCAACCTTGTCCATGTCCTCCATATCTAGCGGGTAATAGAATGGATCGACGAGACCGACGACAGCACGCTTGTATGTTCGATACCTTCCGACAGGCCGCAGGCCCATGCGGGTGCGCCGTAGGGGTGAGGTGTAGTTGGCCGTACGTATATACGTAGTCTTTACGCCATACACCGCAGAGAGGTACGAGCGGATGTCGGTTTTGGTGATAGAATGGGGAACGCGGAACGTTGCTTCGTACGGGTTATACGGCTTTCCTTTCGGAGTGTGATTCCGGACCGTACGAAATATGACATTTGGAAGATAAATCTTTTGGCCGACGACCTCTACCTGTCTTTGGTTGCCCTTGCCAACAAGTTTGGTACCGCGAAGGCGCGAACACTTCTCGTTCGCGCATCCAACCATTCTGCTTCGGTAAGGTCCCTCCATTTCTCCGTCATGAGCTCACCCTTGGCAAGTCGCCGTCTATAGCTGGAGAACTCTCATGGAGTGAGGTCGCTGCCAGGTGGAAGTAGAAGGTCGGGTTGCTTCCGAGAGCAGCGCTCGAGAACGGCCATTGGGGTCAATGCTTCCCTTGCTTCCGCTGCATGCTTTGGTAGTGCAGTTGCAGCCCTCCGGGTGGGCGGTCGAGACGGCTTCGTGGAGTACAGTCGTTGTAAACTTCATCAGCAAAACCGCCCAAAGCTAGCAGAGCCCGGCAGAATCCGGCCCTCCTAGCATGGCCTAGCTAGGCCTAGCTAGACCTCGCCAGAGTCACCTGGGTGTTGCTTTGAACTCGCTGACCACTGCTAGGTCATGACTTGCTTTTACGAGGCCTTACAAGGCCTAGCTAGGCAACGAAAGCGTTGAACTTCAGACTCGCAAGTGTATATATGTATATGCATCACTAATACTAGACTTGCTGGTTGGTATACCTTACTGTAGCTGTAACGGATGTAACACACTAAATTCAATAGTACTACGTAAGTAGAAGACACTTGGAATATTTGCCATCTCAATCAGCCAGATTGTCAGGCATAATTAGATCACCGTACCTGGAATCTTCGCTCGAGACTTTAGCACACCAGTAGGATTTGGACTTCGTGAAATAATAGTGGTATTCAAAGCTGACAGGGAGCTGCCTGTTTTGACCGAATTTTTTGAAAACTCATGCGGAAACACTCGGCACAATTCAAGCGGAGTTTGAAGACATGCCTCCCCTCTGACTAAGCATATGATGCTCTGCACGCCTCCAAGCTCAATCCAAGATCATCATGGCTTCCGATGTCCCCCCCTCTACAGGGGGAAATGGTGATCCCCAGCCCCCCTTCATTTCTTGATCTCATGTCACTGTTGCAGTTTCCAAGTCCAATCCCAAGGCTCTGGTCACCCACCTGGTGCACTCAACAGCTTCTGCTTCCCAGGTGAAACATATAGGCAAATGTGCTCAGGACCCCTCAGCTGGGAGTGAAGGCATTCAGTGGGAGCAGCTGCCTTACCTTACAGAGAAACTCCTCTCATGGCTTCTCAATAATCTGGCCAATCATGCAATCCTTTTCAATGAGAGGTGTTGGACAGGTACGGACTTGCGTTACTTAGCGTCATATACTTTAGACTCTGCAGCATTGACACCTATCACTCTCACGTGATCAGTGCACGCGTAGATAGATCGTTCTTTCCTTTTCCTTCTTTCTCCTCAGCGTGTTATCCAACGGCTGAGGTATGCATACCGTACATTATACGATACACGAGACTGACAGTTCACGGTAGCATTCTCTGTTTTCAGGTTCGCAGCATCATGTACATTATAGCGCGTTATCCAACGGCTGAGCATTCTCTGTTTTCAGTTGTCTACAGGTTATGAGCCCCGAGCTCGTCACATAAGGGACAAGCTCGACTCGTTGACAGCAGAAACAGACAAGACAGATTTATAGACCCGCGCACGAGAAACGAGGCGCATACACGTGCAATCGTAGTCTGCGCTAGAGACCCGCGCACAAGAAACGAGGCGCATATACGCGCAATCATAGTCTGCGCCATGGGCAAGTTTGAAAATATCCCCGAGTTGAAAGGAACAGAGAACTACTATGAATGGAGGTGACAGACGGAGCAGCTGCTCCTCGGACAGGGAGTCTATAGTCACGTTAGCAACGGAACGAACCCCTTTGACTATGTCAAGTATGCGTCAAACTGCCTGTGTCCTCTCATTCCAGCTGCACCGACCGCGACGGAACAGGAGGCAATGAAGGCCTGGTTCAAGGACGATGGCCTTGCGAAGTCAATCGTCCTACGAAAAATAAACTCGTCTGTTCTGTCACTGATTCCCGACGACGTCAGCATAACGGCTCGGGAAGTGTGGAACACACTTGCCGAACTCTACGATCGTTCCGACGTCTCTCTACAGTTTTCTTTGCGCGCACACATTTCCACGCTCCAAATGAAAGGGGCTGCAGACGCCGAGAAGTATGTCGCGTCACACGTGCAGGCCAACGACAAGTTGGCACGTATGGGGGCAAGACCTTCTGATGCAGATGCAATATATGCGCTTTTACGAGGATTGCCGAAGACTGGGCTCTGGCCAGTGGTTCGAAAAGGGATAGAAACAGAACTAGAGCGGAGCGAGCAACTTGCACGAACACTCGCACCTGGACTTTTTTTGGCAGTACCAGTTGCATCACAATCAGCGTGGCCACTCCCAGCAAGTACTCCCGTCACGCCTCAGAATCCGTTTACACCAACGCGGCAATTCACAAATCCGTTTCTCACCCCACCTGTTACACAGTATGGTCAACACACACGTACACAGCCACCAGTAGTCAGGACGTACACCTTCAAACATGCGGCTCAGACAGTCATTAAAGAGGCGATACAGGTCATGAATGAGGGTACCGTGGCTGGCCCGGGCTCGGAGTACGCAAACACAGCTGTGCCAGGAGGTCGTGGGGAGGTTAATCCAGTTACCGGGTTGCGGAAAACTAGAAACAATCCCAGTGGAACCCCGTGCTCTACTCCTATTTGTCTGGGCCGAAAACGCGTAGACCATGACTGGAACAATTGTTTTCAAGCAGGGGGTGGACGGGCAGGACAAGCCCCCTGGCAGAAGGGAAAAGGGGGGGCAGCAGCGAACACTCCTCAGGTGGCAGCTGTGGCTGGCTCGGCTCCCTCAACCACGAACACAGGGTCACAGCTGACAGGAGTGCAGTCGAATACGCAGGTAGCGGCGGCAGCAATTCAATGCCCACCAACTGAAGACTACTTTCGCAATCTCTCCTGTGCAATACTGGAGGAGTTGCATGACGCTGAGATGGGAGGGAACCTCGCGTGCCACGCAGCGGTGGCGTCTTCTACTATCCTCGACTCGGGCACAACTACACATCTCATCCGAGACTCGTCCTTCTTCTGGACATTCACTCACGACTCCACGGTGTCCATGAAAACGGCCAATCAAGGCAGTCTGAACACGGAGGGGTACGGCGATTGTGTTGCAGTACTGAAACTCGGGGGGAAGCGAATTCGCCTAAAGCTGGAACATTGCTTGTACGCACCGAACGCCGTCGTCAATCTTCTGTCCGTCGGTCGCATGGTTGAGCGTGGATGGGAGTTACGGTTCAGG